CGGCCTCCAGGAGTGCTCACTACTCTTCTTCAACTGCTGCCACCACTTATACTGTATTTAATATTCAAAAAGGACAAGTGTTTCTTCCAAACAAAACTTGTTTATTGCAATAACAAAATTAAATAAGTAAATCACAGGTAGTAAATCAAGTTGTAAATCACTGTTTCTCATTCATTAAATCACACAGACTTTTCCCTCACTGACTATTTTGGCTCACAGGCCTACTAACATGCTAATCACTAACTCTCAATCTATCAATCTCTCCATCTCCTCTCTCTCACACCTCACACACACCTTTTATATTTCAGCTCCTCCCCCTTCTGCACCACCCTCCGTCCCCTCATTGGCTGATGTTCCACTGCCCAGCTGTGACGGACAGGTGAGAGCAGGGCTGTATGTTACAGTGCTTAAGGAGGAAGTTGGTGTCATTGCCATGAACACGATAAAGGTTCTCTGTGCGTCTAGATATGGCAGCTGACATGGACAGTTGATCCCAAGTATCTTTGATAATGTCCAGCAGAACTGGAAGAAAAGTCAAACTAAGTGGTGGGGATTGTTCTTGGTTAATGTCACCAAATATAAGGTCTTCAGCCGGTGGTGCAGGTTGACCAACATCCAATTTGATGGTCTTAGCTAGTCTGGAGAGCATTTGAGTATATGACAAAAAATCTTTTGAGGGAGATGAAAGGGTAACGTCATGATCAGAGGGTGTCATGCCATGTGTTCTTTTATGCAGGCATCAGTCGACGTCGAGAATGGAAGATACAATCTGCTGGGAAGAATGGAGAGTCATCGTCGCTGAAATAGTATGAGTAGAAGCATTAGGACGCTCCTTAGCAGGAGGAGCAGATTCCTTCGATTTTTCGGTGTCAAAATGCTTTTGACGCTGGTGTCTTCTCAGAGGAGTCGATGTCGAAGAGGAGGAGGAAGAGGCATAGATGTATTGGACTCTTCTCCGGTGCCGATGTTGATACAACGATGTCGAAGAGGATTCCGATGGGGAATAATCCCGTCGGTGTCAACGTTGGTGCTTCCTATGTCTGAGTTCGGAATCATCAGAGTCATCTGAACGGTCCCTATGTTGACATCGAGAGTGTCGAGGGAGGACCACTATCTCCCTTCAAGGAAATCGGCGTTGATAGGTTGAAGTATGTTTATCCTTGGTGGAATGCTTGTGTGGTGGAGATCTCGGCCTCGAAGCAGCTGACGAGATTGAATGAGCCAAAGACGCCCGCCCGGTTGACACAGGGCTATGAGGGGCAGAAACCATGCCTGCAGTGATACTAGCAAGCTGGCTCGGCGTCGGAGACGAGACGCCTACCGATGGAATTGGCTCGGTTTGTCGAGGAGGGAGCGATGGAGCTGCCTCCAACAAGGATTCTCTATCCCTCTTCCAAAATGGGAGATGGCAAGGATGTAGAAATTGGTGGCAACTGCTTGTGAGTGTCCTTGGCCTTAACTGGTGACTTTGTCTTTGTCTGTTTTGCAACTTTTGAGGATGTGGCTGAAGCGGATTTCGTCATCAACGATGACTTTTTGACAGGCACGGACTTCTTGGATGATTTTTCTGAAGCCTTGCTAACAGAGAGCTGAGGTGAGATATTGCTTTCTGCGCGGGGGGTAGCAGAAGGCGAAGAGATTTCCATGTTTGTTGGTTTTGATGAGGAAAGCACAGTGTCCCAAAGGTGATATTTCAATCTTTGTTGTCTTGCCCTCAAAGCTGCTTTAGTGAAAGCTTTACAATGTTTGAAAGCCTGAGTAGGGTGAGCCTCCCCTAAACAAAAAAGACAACGGTCGTGCCCATCATGAAAGGGGAGTTTTCTCGAACAGACAACGCACCGGCTGAAGGGGCCGGAGCAGGAAGGTCTGAGTCCTACTGTAATTTCGGTGCGGTCCAGTAAAAATGACGGGAAAAAACCGAGGCAACCAAGTTGAAAGGGCAAAGGCAACGAGAAAAAACACAAAAATAAGTCCACATCAGGGCAAGAAAAGTCAGAGTAGTCAGTCAGAAAAACCGAGTCTGAAAATCGTAGAAATTCAATCAAATTCAAGAGAAAATCAGAGCTCGATGCGAGAGGTTCAAATTCGCTCGGCTGAAAAATGGAACTGAGGCTTTGATGGGTGGAGCATGCGCACTATAGGCAGCCTTAAACTTGTTACTTTTCTATTCAAAGCTCGAGAATATTCCAAGAGGTCCAGCGCAGGCACTGATTTAACCCTTTTGTGTGCATTCAGAGAGGCCATGCTGAAGAATTTTAAGTTTTTGATGGCAATATCTGGCAGAGACAGGGATACTGGAGCTACAGACTCAGCCCCGATAGGGTTGGTCTTTTCCTGTGTATCAATAGATTTTTGGGAGGCAGACAAATTGCTCATTGTGGAAGAGGAGGATGGTTGGAGAGACTTTTCCCACAGGTAAATCAATGGCTGTTAACCACAGAAGGTCCAAACTTGTGGCAATGTGAGTGGCAATGTGAGCAGGAGTGGGGCTGGTGGGATTCACCCAGACACTTGGAATGGACGTCAGATAGAGTAACCTTCATGTCACAAGCTGTACACTTTTTAAACAATTATTTAAAATAATCCTTTATTCACCACTTACGATTACTTATAAAGCCCTAAACGGTTTAGGACCTCAATATCTGGCAGAGCGCCTTCTCCCACCCAGTTCTACCAGAGAAACTCGTTCTAGCCCAGGCGATTGAGGGGCCTAACGCCAAGGGAGGCCCTGAAGGAAAGAAAGAGGAACCGGGCCTTCTCGGCAGTGGCCCGTCGCCTCTGGAACAACTTGCCCGTAGAGATCCGCCTGGCTCCCTCTCTGGGTGTCTTTAGAAGTAAACTAAAGACATGGCTATTTAGGCAGGCTTTCCCTCCTGCAGTATTTTAATATCTATATTTTTACATCTTGGATTTCTGCATGTTATTGGTTTTATTGTTTCTAAATTTTGTTATGCTGCCCAGAGTAGACTATCTGTCTAGATGGGTGGGGCATATAAATAAATAAATAAATAAATAAATAAATAAATAAATAAATAAATAAATAAATAAACAAACAAACAAACAAACAAACAAATAAATAAATAAATAAATAAA